TATATATATATATATTTTGATTCTCGAAATAATAAGTTTGTGTGTGTGTGTGTGTGTGTGTGTGTGCGCGCGCGCGCGCGCGCGGTGTGTGTGTACAGGATGTTTCATAAATGCATGTCAATACTTTAAGAGGTAAATCTATAATATATTAAAACAAGTAAAAAACGTTATATGAACATATATCCTATATACCTTAGTTTTCAAGTTATGGGTGATTAAAAAAAATATTCGAAATGCCCGCTTTGTATGTCACACTCCACTGCACGCTCTAGCATTGAGTTTCGCATTCGTTAAAAAATATCAGATATTCTTCAAATAGTCTCAAATCCATTTCGTTTCTCATGCACATTGTTTACTGGTGTTGAATACACAATAGCTTTTAAATGACCTCAAAAATAAAAATCTAATGGACTGAGATCAGGAGATCATGGTGATCATCGGAGTAGGTCTGCCTCGTCTTATCCTATTGATTTGCGAAGGCGTTGTTTAGGAAATTTTCAGTTCAAGATGGAAATGAGGCGCAACATCGTGAATCACAAATTTTGCCTGATAGCCAGGACTGCCATGACTGAAGTTCTGTCCTTTGTATTGATAAATATTGTTTGTAAACATTAGATAACTTCGAGACATGCTAAGCTGTGCAATAGCATTGTGTTGACACAAGGAGAACATTTCGAACATTTTCCTTAATCAGCCATAATTTGAAAGATATGTTCATATGATGCTTTTTTACTTATTTTAGTGTATAGATTTACCGCCTAAGTATCAATATGTATTTATAAAATACATATTATACTCTGTATACATACGTGTCTAAATATAAATGTGTAAAATAAGTTGTACAATAAACATTGTTATTATTATCGTTATTATTATTATATTTTCGTACCTCTTCTAAAAAAAATCCTATGGATGCCCTTGACTACGTGCGATCGAGAAGGTTGCTCGCTTTGCGTTTACTTTGCGTTTACAACCTTTCATATTTTTTTGTGTCGTTTCGTTAGGATGCGAATATTGATTCAGCGATAGACTGATTGGTCATTTATATAGGATTGCATATAATTTAATAAATATAATACGCCGCTTTTTGATCGTTGGAAACCAAATGTAATTTCTATAGTTTTAATTAACAATACAAGCATCCCATGGTATATGGAAATCCTGCTGCGAATTTCATTTAAATTACGTGATTGTAATTTTATTCTAACAATATGTAATAACGGAGGGAAGAAAAATTTGTTACTTGTTACGGCGCTGATTGCACGAAATTCTTTATAAATAATTAATTAAATAATTAACATTTATAATTACCTAATTGCGTAATTTAATTATTTGTGTTTACAATTTTTTGATGTAAATATTTTTTAGCAATTAACATTAACTTATTAAGCGTCCATGGTTTTTTATCAAATGAGAAACGTACACGATTCCATGATTAGAATTGTAAGAACCACCGTGTAAGATGTCGGAGGTAGGCAAACAAAATTAATTACATCGTGGGAGAGAATGAATACATTCTTTTCCTCTTGTTTCTGTTTTCTTTTCGGGACATAACAGCTAATTATTCACCGGGCAAATGTGTAAGTAATCCGGGCTGGACGTTCTACCACATTTCCACAAATCCACTTGATACTTTTCCAGTCACGAACGTTGTCGACGCTACAGCAGTATGTAAGCCGCGATAAATTGCAGCCGCTGCGGCGAGTTAAATCTACGTAATTTCTGCCGAAATTAAGCGCAGCGGTCCGGGAATTGTGGAAACCAGCATGCTGATCGCGCAAGATCGAATACACTCGAGTCAGAAAGCAGTCGAGCGGTTCGCTTGCTCATGCGACCACCATCTTTTCGTTGACTTCATTCATCCTGGCGTTTTTCCAAGCGTGTAATTTAGATGGTACTTTGGATAGTTGCCGATCTCATTAATCCCGCGGATTGTGTTACGTGTGTCGCGTCGGTTAGATCATATTTACTGAAGATATAATTATTTCATATTGTTATTAAAAATTCACTAATATTTGCAGGAAATAATAATTATTATTATAACATATAAAAATTTTAATAAAAAGATACGCGAAAGAGAGACTATTTTCAACAAATATTTATAATATAGCTATTATATTGAGAGTTTAGTGCTGAATGCAGAATGAAAAATATTATAATGCTTTAAAGTTTAATCAAATTAAAAATTCATTACATGCTTTCCGTCAATATTAACTATATAAATTTATTAATTCAA